CAGTTTCATGATTGAAGTAGCAGCAAGAGAGGGTGAGAGAGAGAAGAGGCAGTCGCTCCATATATCGGTTAAACTTAACGTGGGAATGCTTTACAAACATTCAGAGATGGACTTACAATCTTGCTTTACTTCTCTCGGGGATAACTTTGTCGGAGATGAAATGCCGAGTTGTTAGCAAAGCTCCAAATGCTCAACCAGACCAGGTCCCGCATGCCACAGCCGCTCTATCACGTGATGCATACTGCTCCGACGTGCTAAGGTTCTGAGGCGAGTAACTGCGTGTTGCAAGTTTTGTGAGATGCTTTCGTGATATTTAATGGATCGGATTACATTTTTTTTAATTTTTCTCCGATATCCGATCCAGTAATTTAGGTCAATATCGGACCAATACCGATAAGTAATATCGGATCGGTCCATCTCTAATTAATATCATCACTTTTTTCTCAATAATTACATGTCAGTAGTGATGTGTAGGTCGCGAACAAATCGGCTCTTAGAGCCAGATCTTTCAAGTGAACAACGTGAGCCAGCTCCTAATTGGGAGGCTTTTTTTGTTTGTTTGTTTGTTTTCCCCCCTGTCTTTCGCACTTTTTTCCACTTCACTCCACACGCGAGCCTTATGCTTTGCGCTGGGCAGATGGGGGATGGATGGTAGTTACCCGCAGTAGGACAGGAACAGAGCAGGAGGGAAAGAGAGAGAGAGAGAGCAAGGGACATCATATTAGAAAGGTATAGTGATCATCCACAACTATTTTCAGTTGCGGATGATAAAGGATTCAGAAAGTTTATTCATGCAGGCTTATATGACAGAGAATGCGCATCTTCTTTTTGTTTTTTATTATTTTAATTTATATTTAATTGTGTTGTGGTTTGCAGTGTTTTGTGTTGTTTCACTTTAAATTTGTTTAAAAGGAAAAAGCTAAAAATTTAAATAGTTAAAAGTTGAAATGTGAATAGTTGGTTTTTGTACTATATGATTTATTTATTATATTTTATGTGGAGTGAATAAATAAAAGTATATTTATGGTGGCCCCTAGAGACAAAGCACATACAAACTCCAAAACACGTAAAAACTCAGAAGCACATAAAAACTCAAAACACGTACAAAAGACAACAGAAGTGCTCCAGGATGCTAGGCGCAGTGTTGAGCT